ATTTGCATAAGAAAATAAAGTGTGGTTCATCTGGAAATATTTCTTCTTTAAGAATTTCTTTGGAGCTAGAAATCATAGGCAAAGGGGTGGGAGGGAAAATGACTTCTAAATCTCTTCTGTAGTAATTACATACGCTCCTTAAAGAAGCCTAAGAATGAACATTTTACAATAAATTGTACTGTTTTCATTGCATTATGCAAATTAAATGACAACTTGTCATTTAAGAAGTTAATAAACAGTCACCGTTTTGCAGGTTATCCAAATGCTACTGAATAGACAACCTTGAATCTCTAAATGATGCGTAATTAAAATTATTTTTAAAATCCTCTTTGACAGGCCTGGGCTTAGCCAAAAAGTAAATGACATTAAAGAAGACAATGAATTTAATTTTATTTAATGTCCCTTTTTGCAGATCCTCATTTACATAGCATTTTTTAACAAAAGCCTTGACCTTATAAATGCTGGCATTTGTACAGCTTCTGCAGAGTTGGATTTAATCATGCTTTCACAAAGCCATGAGGGAAAAGCTTTAAGTTCTCTGGTTGGATATGGAGTAGGAATAAAAACATTGGGACTGGTCAAATGTTTATCCTCCTTGCTTCTGAAAACAACCTGACAAGAAGATGTAAAGGTCTAGGGAATAACCCATTGCTGTTTGTAAGGCTTGGTAATAATCATACATAATCGTTTGGAAATATAGCTAATAAAAAATATAATGAGTGTTCAGCAAAATCGGCATTAGGCCCAAATTACATGATATTAATACTTGAACAGGTGCAGAAAGGCTTTTTAAATGAGGTAAATGAATAAAATGTCCCAGAGCACAACTGTGTGCATTGACAAAAAGTCAATCACATGAATAATTCAGCGACTAGGACCGCCAGCAAAGGTCAGCTTTCTTTGACCTTTGTGACAGGAAGTGAAAGGAAACACTGTTGACTAAAAAAAAAATAAAAAAAAAATAAAAGCACCCCTTCCAATCAGTCTTTAGCTACCATTCTGCAATTTACTTTAAAGGCACAAACTTTAGCGACAAGTGAAATAAAGATATTTCTTCCTCACCCAGTTTGCTCATTCCGCCACTGTTTAAAAAAGAAAAAAAATGTAGAGGTCATAAAATTCTGCCTCTCACTAAAAACACAGCGCGAAAACAAGAAGTTAGACAAAGACAATGAAAGGTTAAACTACAGAGGTCCTTGGAAACAATGTCAATTATGTATAAAATCTGAGGTCATCTGAAAAATATTTTAAGAGCCCACAGAGCTGAAAGTTTAAAACAGCTGTGAAATATGACAAAACTTCTGTACCCCCACCAAAAAAAGAGAGGAAAAAAAAAGCCTAAATCTATTCCAAACTCTGTATGGAAGAAAATGGGATAAACAGATGTCTGGCTTTTATACAGAAAAGTAGAACACACTTAGAATTATAAGTCTTCTTAACTCTATAGAATAATTCCAGATTTATAGAGGAGGGAGAGTATTTACTACCCACAGAAATGCCAGCTAGCACTACAACTGTGATAATACCATCTGGAAAAAGGACGCCAGGCATGCTCTCGGAAACACTTTGCAAGTTCATTCCGTGTGCGCGCAGGCAGATCTGCCATTGTTTTACTAACAAGTTGCTTCTTAATGGGATTGCAGTTTGGAAATCCTGTCCTCCTCTATTCCTCCCTAATCAGCTGCTGTTGCTGCAGTGTTCAACAGTTGAATACTGTGATCTCACATAGATTCCAGCCAAACAAGAGAAGGAAAAAGTCAAAAAGAGGTCTTTTTTACCAGGAATTTCCATAACTTCATGTAAAATATTATGGTGGCAGAATTATTTTAGCACACAGTGTGGTTTTGGTTTAGCAGTTACAGTGGTATCCTGTAATCATTTATAGGCAGTGGAATGTATGAGTGAAATAGGATAGATTTATCTCTTCATAGTTGTGATATGTAGACAATGGGTGTTCCTAATGAGGAACATCTGCTTTTGTGCTCACCCAGAAAACATTATTCCACTATGAAAATGATACTCCTACCCTTTTCAGCAGGCCTGCATAAAAAAATAAGTCATTTTCTTTTATTTGTCTTTCTTTGGGGCAGTTTTATTTCCCAGGGAGACTTTTCAGAGGCATCCCTCTGACTTGAATTACTTTATGGCATTATTTTGGTGGGCTGTATCTGTTACATGCCTTGCATAATTGTAAAGACAAAAGCACTGTCCAAAATTGTAATAATTGAAAACGTATTCTTAATTTTAGCAGAAAAATACACGCAAGAATAGTCTATGTGGGGAAGGAAGATAAGTACTGAATACTTTATATAGTGTGGAATTCTAAAACCCTGATAAAAAATATTTTTATTTTCTTTATTTTATCATGTTAGTGTGAAATATTTGATTTACAGGTATATGTATGACTTCTGTATGTATGATCCCCTGTTACCAACAGTAATTCTATTATAACATTATCTAAAACAGTTTGCTGTTTCATCAGAACAATTGTATGGTGAAAAATCACAATACATATCTGAATTTTTGATTAATATTCCATGGACAAAATATGTAATCAAATATGACATGCATATACAAATGTAAAAAAGATATAGTATGGAACGGTATTTCTATAATTTTTAAACCAAGGGATATTTCATGAGATTAAATGACCTACCACTTTAACTAAAGTTTTATTCTGTCGACTGAAAAGGTGATACAATCCAGAAATTTTGCTCTACCATCAGCAAATTTAAATGGTAAACTAAAACACATGCATCAGTCCAAGATAAATTATTATTAGAAATCTGAAATGCAATTTGATTCTCCCCAAAGACTAGACCAATATTGCTATTCATTTTTCCAAAGTATATTTTCCTTTCATGAAATGGCTAAAGTAATTTTATGT